ATCTACCGTAGGTTTAAGTGACAGCTTATTCGTCCATGTGAATCCTAAATATTTAAAAGCATTCACTATCTCTAATTTTTGCTCTTGCATGAAAACATTTATTTTCGGTTGTTCTATTTGCGCATAGAACACCTTTCCCACCGTCTTCTGTACATTGATAGGCTGCTTCCATTCCTTCGCATACTCTGCTATTCTACTGCAGACCTTCGAACCATCTCTTTCGAGAAACTCAATGGCTGAAGCCAGATTCCTCGTAACGGGGACCTTTACTAGTATACTTAAGTCATCCGCTTTGTTTTCAATCTATTTATATGTTGTGTTCTTGTTTGTAGTTACTCTTTTCCATTATTTAGATGAGTCAAGGTTGCACTATCATTCTTTCTTCGCTGTGAAAGATTCTCATAGACTTGATGATGCTCTAGACTTAGCAGCAGGTCAATTGACGACATCAAACTTATATGAAACTCGGTAATCATATGGTAGGAATGCATAGTTATTAGAGAAAATGTCGATTGATTCTTCAATCGATTTAGATGATCGCAAATGTCGGAATTGTGCAGAAAACTAATATAAGTTGCAACGATTTCATAGAGGGAATCATTATACAAAGTTCGGATGATATCAGTCTTGAGAGCACTTTATTTCTTTTAGTTAAATTAATTTTTATAACATAATATTTGATAAATGTTTTTAAATAAATCCTATTGAAATATTAGAGAATAAAAAAAAGTGATAAACGAACTTTCTTATGTTTATTTTATTTGAATATATTAATATTTTATCATTTTAAACATTTACAATGAACAATATAATAAATATATCGAAATTTATAACTGTTAATGGTTACAATTATGATTTAGAATTTAATCAGATTTAGTTTAGTTAAATTATATTTTAATACAACAAAAACAAATCTAGTGAAACTCTTGAATACAAAATAAATAATTTTATTTTAAGATGAATTATATTTGTTAATTTATATTTAAATAAAATAAATTTGATTGTTTATTTGAGATTTAAAGAAAAATATTTTAAAAAGATATATAATATCTTTGAAAAATAAATTTTAAATATTTACATTTGATTTTCAATAATTTAAATATAAATCTGAAAATAAAGTCTAATGTCATATTCAAATATTAAACAAAAACAGAAACAAATCAATTTTAAGTTTTGTTAGAAAATAATAACGATGTAGCATATTCAAAAGCGCCAAAATAAACAAAACCTCCAATTGATATCCACATTGTACGAGGAATAACACCACTGTATAAACTAAATAAAAATACGTTTCTTTTTTAAGAAAGAAAAAAAGACAAAAAAAAATGAAACTAACGCCATAAAGCCTTCTTGTTTGAAAATATTTTTAATAATTTTCAAAGGATGAGAAGCTGCATCAGCATGAGAATGCTAAAAGAAGATTCAAAATGAAATAAATAAATAAATAAATAAAAATAAGTCTTTTGAATATTTACATGAGCAAGAATTATTCGAGTCTTCGCAACATCTAAATATTAAATTTATTAGATTTTTTATAAGAACAAAAAGAAAACAATAGGAAAATAAACCAAATGGAGTTGTTATAGATGCTGCTATTCCACCAGCTAGAGATCCGCATATCGCTCCTTGCCATGGAGATACATAATAACCTTGTTTAGATGTCCATAATTCCTTTTAGTGATTTTTTTTTAAATAAATATAAAAATAATAAAAAAACAACAAAGCAAACTTTAAATAATTCCCAAAGTGGAAATTGAATTATTGAAAAAGGAATTTCTCGTGATAGAGTTGCAAAATATCCTCGATAAAGACCTAATAAACCCTTTGAACAAAAAAAAAGTTCATTTGATTTCTTTTAGAATAAAAAAACGAATAAAATGTACAAACTTCATTATGAAGACATGATTTTGCGATTGTTGATAAACGTAAATTTCTATTAACTTGTGCTCGTTGTTTAATAACTTCAACAGGAACACGTATAAGACATGCACTCTAAATATTTGACTTTAAAAAAAAAAATTTATTTGAAAATAAATCAAATACAATTTCTCCAAAAGTAGCAGCTATCATATGAGTTTTCCATTGTGATGATATAGATAATGTTCGTTTTGTTAAATTATAAGAAAGAAAAAATAATGCTGATGATGGACCACTTCCAATTAATACAGAACCAACACCAGAATATAATGATGAAAATAATATTCGTCTATTTATTGACTTTTTTTCTTGAAGACGAGTTTTTATTGTATCTATTGGATATAATGACAAATCAACTGCACATCCAGCTATTGATCCAGCCTAATAATTAAGTTTTTATAGAATATTTTTTTTCTTTTTATTATAAATTAATTCTTAACAAACCACTAATGAATGTTGAATTGTTTGAATAAGATCTCTTTCTGTCATGTTTATTTATCTTTAAATAAAATTACTTTTATATTATTATATTCACATAGAATAAATCAATTTTAATTAAATATAATACTCATCAATCGTATTTATTAGAAATATTTCGAATTAAATTTAAAAGACAACTTCATTTTTGTAATATATCATCTTTCATTTGGATTGTTCTCTCAAATCATATTTGTTCTTGTCTAACGACATCTTTTTTCTTTTAGTATACTGAATTCTTATCTACAATTGGATATTTATTTATTATATAAATTGATGAAAAGTAAATGTCGATCAATCGGTCAGCTTCGTAACTGCATTGAACCTTGATTCGTATTTATCGTCATTGTCATACATTATTTGATCAGATTGTATCAATTAATTATGGAACAAAAAAACATTTTAGTCAATTGTTAATTTATCTTTCTTTTTCGTTTTACTAAACAATCTTTTATTTTTGATAAAAACAAACAAAGAAAATATTTGATGATTTAGAAATCGATCAGATTTACTCAGAAGAAATAAAATGAAGAAGTTCAATGAACAATTAAAAATAGAAATTAAACTTATTTTGTTCGAAAGATCTTTCCAAAACATAAGACTTATTTTCATTGTAATATAATTTTTTACCAGTTTTTCTTTATTTGATGACTAAATTCCATTCGATTATTTAAATAAATTATCTAATTATGCATTTATACTGTATACGACACATATTATTTCAATATTCAGTTTTTTTCCTAATACAAGGTTAATTAAATGAATAAATTGTTTATTATGAAATTGTTAAATAATATAACGGGTGGATGAAAAACTATTTATCTCTTCATGTTTTTTTTAATGTTTCGATTGTATTAATATGGTGAACAAGCGAACTTACTTTCAAAGATGAACTTTTTATTTGCTGGAAAAAAAACATATTTCAATTGATTTGATTAGAATATATTGCTTTAGAATTTGTAACAAAATCGATATGTTGAACATGGCCAATTTTAAAAGGGAAAAATTTTCTCTAGTTCTATTTAATGCATTTTAACTCTTAAATAACTTATTAGTTGAGTATGTCTATTCGTTTATAGCAATAAATAATAAAGATATGTTTGAAAATTGATTTATTTGTCTCTCAATAAAGATTATTGTTAAGAAAGAAAAATCTATGTTAATGTAAGTGAAATGATAAATCATATGTTACATAATGGTTACGATTTTATCCTAATTTTCTAAAATGTTCATTAAGTTAATAAGATAAACATCACTACTGTCGAATAGATTGATACCATATACAACATAAATCGATCATTTTTCAAAATAATTCAAACTTTTGATAAACATAAACGATAGAGAAAAAGTTTGATTCTTTAAAGTTGACCATTTTCGATATATCGATATCGTCACCAATTCTAGAGTAATGAATCGTAATCAAATCAGTTAAAATATGTTACTTTGTAGAAAATAAAAAGATCGATCTTTGAAAAAAGTTTGTTTGTTCATCGTTTTAATACGATGGAAATATCTCGAAAGTCCGTCCTTTAGAGGTTCATTGTTAATGAATGGCGCGTTATGTTATTTTTTTTTTCGCTTTTTATTTCAATAAGATTTCTTGATAGTAGAATTAAATAAATGCGAAAACCTCGGATTTAAATCCGAGTGTTATGTGTACTTCAAAAAGTGAAAAGGCATATTCACTGTGTTTTTTATCACTAAATTGCAAGGAGAAAATACAGGCGTGCTAAGTTAGCATGGACCATACTGTATGCGACCCTATCCGGTGACCACTGAGTGATATAATATCTTTAGAAATCACAGGAATTGAGTTCAGATTCGNTAATTGTTTACTAATAGAAGATTTTTTAGTTCTTTACTATAATTAATTTTCGATGTTTTTCAATATTATTTAAAAAACTCATATCGAAAAACTTGATAAGATTTATATTAATAGATGAATAAAACCATATGATATATACTAAGAGAAATAAAAATAGCTATTGAACTAATTCTAAATGATCTTATTTGATAATTATTTTGTAAATAATATCAATAGAGAACATAAATTGATAAAGATTTATTATGTTGAATGAAATTATATTTAACATATATCATATTATCTTAACGAGACATTATAGAAAAATTTCTATTCGAAAGTCAATCGTTAGATATTTTCTTTGTTCTTTTAATTAATTTCATTGAAAATAAGGTTCAAATATCTAATAAATAAATCAACATTTTTTATTTATTCTTATAATAAAAACAAAATTCATTATTCAAAGAGATTTTTATAAAAAAAATATCTTCATTATAAATAAATCATAGTAAATAAATGAAACGAATAAACAATTAATTTATCGAGAAAAAAAAAATAAATCTTTCATGTTTTTCTCTTGTTCTTATACAAAAAAAGTTGATTTTATAAAAAAAAGATATTCTATTTCTATATTCATTTTAGAAATTATTCATCATTAATATTACTTAACAACAATTGAGGAAGAAGTTGGGCAGCAGGACCATGAAAATGATAACTAATAAGAATAAGAAGGACAAAAAAAAACACAATTGAAATAGTATTTAAAACAAAGGTAACATACGTAGCAATAGAAGTTGAAGGTGTTGTTTCAACATTAACTTCAGCAATAGGAATATTTTTCTGAGCAAGAATTGATGCATAACCAGCTGCCGGATAAACAACAGATGATGTTCCAACCTTTTTTTTATTTTTAAATACATATTATATATATATAAAGCAAAGTTCAACATACAACTAGAAATAAATCACACAATTGAATTTCTTTTTCAATTGTTTCTAAAACATCATCCCAAATACGTTCACCGAACCAAACAATATGAGGACGAACAAGACATTTACATTTTCTACAGCGAGGAAGATCGTTTTCATCAATATCAGGACCATTCTCATCTGGTAATCTACAAAAATTTATATTCAAATTTAAATTATATATAAATAAATTTAAAAAAACCCTCGATTTCTTAATGATTCACAAATTGGACTTGAATTATTCTCTTCAATAAAACCACATGAAGTACATTGAACCATAAAAAGATTTCCTGAATTAATATAAAAAAAATAGTTATGTTTAACAAAAATATAAGTGTAATGTAAGTCACCATGCATTTCAATTAAATTTTTAGTTCCTGCTCTACGATGAAGCCCTAAATAAAAAAATAGTTTAAATAAAATAGTCGAAGTAAAAACAAACCATCAACATTTTGTGTAATAACATTAAATCGTTTTCCTTTTTTTTCAAAATTGGCTTCAGCTTCAGCTAATGCAATATGAGCCTAGAAAATAAAACAATTTATTTTATTTTGATTTTAACTAAATGGAAACCTTATTTGGTTGTTTTGTTCGAACAAGTTCACGACGATAATGATAAAATTCCCAAACAAGAGAAGGTGAACGTGAAAAAGCTGTTGCAGTTGCTAAATCCTTTTTATTTAAATAAAAAAAAAATGTTTATTTAATAATTGAATTTGTTTATTAATAAACCGTAGCTCTATATTGTCTCCAAAGTCCTCCAGCTCCACGAAATGTTGGAATACCAGATTCAGCTGATATTCCTGCCCCGGTTAATACAAGAACTGAATGAGCACGAGATAATAAACGACGAAATTCAGCAATTTTTCCCGTTGTCTAAATAAAATCTCTCGATTTATTTAAATAAATATTCATCTATGTAACAGACTGTTGAAGCCATTTTAGTTTTTAAATCTAAAATAAATATATTTTATTTTAATTAACCATTTCAACAATTCATTCTTAAAAAAATATCTATGAAAATATTCTATAATATTAATATATTTGAAATCAATTTTGAATCGATTTAATTTAAAAACAAAAATATCGACGGGAAACAAGAAAAGTGTCAATAAACATTTGAAAAACTTTTTATATATTGATTAAAAAGCGATATTGAATAAAATATTCTTATTCCATGATTATTATTAATATATTCAATGTAATATGATAAAAATAGATTCGATAGAATTCGAAACGAACCAATCACTTTTTATTTGTTTATTTTTATTTCGATTATATATTCTATCGTGCCAATATTTATTCGATAGTTTTGTTTTTTATTGATACGTATTTAATTATCTATTGTGTTTTTTTTTCTATAGATTATTTCTTAAAAACAAAAATCTTCTAAATCAATAAAAGAATTTTTAAATAAAAAATAATTTTGACAATATATTTATAATAATACATAAATAAAGGTTGTAACGATCGATCGGGATTAGTCTGTACTAGCTATCATCCTAAATATGACTTTTTAATCGNTCACTCGATGTTATCATATAAATGTAAAAATCTGTCGAATATTGAACATAAAATAAACATATTGCGAGAAGACGAAACGATTGTACAATATTTTCTGCATTTTCAGTTCGTTTTTGTTGGATTGTCAATGATCTATAAAGATTAATTGTAGCAAATGGAAGTGATGCTATAGCATTTCCAGCTATTTGAAAAAAATATGTTCGACTTATTTGTCTATCAAATCTTTGCATAACATATTGATTATTAAGACGTTTAACAAGTTTTCTTGTTATATACCAAAAATAAATAGCTAATAGAATAGGTAATATTCCTTCCAATAATGGAAAATAAAAAAATGCTGCTAATAATAAAAAACTATTAGATTTTGATGTACAAATTGATGTACCATTTAAATATTCTTGTGGAACATTATCAAACAAAATAGCAACTGGCATTCCAAAACCAAGCCAAACTATGATTAAAGCTGTTAGAACAAGATAACGAGATAATTTAATTGAATTAAATGATCGAATTATTAGTGAAGATGATATTATTGAATAACGATCAAATGATATAAAACAATTTAATATAAATATGGATGTTATTGTAAATACAGCATAACTCATTTGAAATTTACAAAAGATTCCATTTAATGCAAGAACATTTATTTCAAAGCCAAATGTAACAATATTTGGTAAAAAATAAATTGGTAAAAATAAAAATGATAATATTCCTATTGTTCGAATATATATTGAACATGGATATTCATTTAATGGAGTACAATTAAATATAATTATAACCATTAATGAACCAAACATACCAAATAATAATATTGTTATACCGGCATATATTAATATTATATGAGCTATTTCGACTAAGATTTTACTTGATATTAACATCTTTTTAATATATTTATCATAATTAACAAAAATAACATTCAACTATATTAGACAACATTTTTCATATTTATTTATTTGATTTAAATAATTTTTTTTGTTCTCGTTCTCTTCTTATTTATATTAATATGATATTAATTTTCTAGTTTTTCGATATAATCTTCTTAAGATATTATTTTATCAAGATTTTTTTTGTTTCTCCTACTTATATATTCATTTGTCGCAGATAGATTTTATGAAAAATGATTTATATATATAGAAGTAAACAATCGAACTATTTCATATAAAATAACTAATATTTTATATTTAATTATTATCTTCGAACATATATCTCATGTTAGTTAAATAAATCTTATCTTATTCGACACATATTTATATTATATTTCATAGACGTAATCAAATATTTAATAAGTTTTTTTTTTATTATTTACCACTTTCATAGAAATAAAATAATGAAAAATCTAATTGACTTTCACATTTCGAATTTTTACATATTGAATTAAATTAATACAAGAATTTGTTTTTTTCAATAATTAATCATAGAATACCAAAGACTATTTTATTTATTGCTATTCTTTTCTATTGTGCCTTAATCAATATAAATTTGTTTACATTAGAATTTATTTAAATGTGTCTATTATATAATATAATAATCTATTTCGAGTAGATTATCAATATAATTATAAGATAATTCAAATAAAACAAATAAGACATTTAATTAAACGATTTAATTAGAAAAAAACGAATTCTAAAATCTATCCGAGATAATAAATATATCTTTTTTATTTAATAAATAATATAAATATTCAAATATAAAATAAATCTATTTAGATATCGTCTCTATATAAGAAGTTCGGGATCCTCTCGATTGGTTCCCCTTGCCAATTATCCCAACTGATCCCTCCTTAATTGATTCTCAATTCGTCCTCTCAATTAGCCCGTCCATGTACAGAAACAATTAGAAACAAATATATGAACAATAGTCATCAATCAGAAAATAGCAGCATTGCTTAGAGCAGAGAGAATGTCAGTAGTGAAACTAAAACACTACAAAGAAAACACATCATCATATATATATATATACATAGTGCTCTACGCAGCAATCAATTTTCTGATTGAGGACTANGAAATAACATGTGATTAGTGAATGATATGATAATAAAGTAACTATCGCTACGTGACATAATCAAAGTCAAGATAACATTCTATACGATAGAAAGAAATATATTTTACCGTTACAAATTGAAATACTCAATGGAAAATTGAATTTTTCGAAAGAAGTCATTTTTCTTGAATAGTGGTTCTCAGAAAAACTTTTGAAAAACCGTTAAAATCCATCGCAAACAAAATAAACTATAGTGCATTCGATAGCGGACGCGATGTTCTATCACATGCGCTAATTAAAAAAAATCGATAAATTTGACAAAAATCAACTTTTTTTGGGTGGAGGCTGGGCCTTAAATCGAATATATCAAGTAAGATTATAATTAATGAAAATATATTAAATAAAAAGAATATTCTCTTTGAACAAACATGTCAGCATAGTCATTTTTCGTTCTATATAAAACATGTCACAATTTCATTGATAACAACAATCGTTATTTTAGCATAGAACACTTATTAGAATATTTGAAAAGATTAAATTTGATTTCTGAGATATTTCTTTAGATTTATCTTTTAATTTCCATACTGACATATAATCATTTTTTTAAATAAATATTATTTATTGTAGGAAATAAATAATAATGAACATGAAAATTTATCTATGGTTGTTCGTTTTGGAGATCTGATAGAAGAAACCGTAAGTCTTATCTTAAATTAATTTTTTGAAAACAAAAAAAAATTTTGTAAAATGTTGAAGAGTGATGTTATTGTTGTATGTTGGTCATCAAAATATTTATTAGAAATGATATATGAATGTGGTGGACCATCAGTCCGAACTGCAATTAATAATCAAATTGAAAAAAAATTGAAAAATCCTTTAACTACTGTTAAATCAGATGGAAATATTAAATCAAAAAGAATTTATTTTATTCATTGGCAACCAGAATCACAAATTGATTTAGTTAAAAAATCTCTTGAAAATTTAATAAGTATTTGTATGGAAAGAGCTGATAATGATAATTATAAAAGTATTGCATATCCAGCTATTGGTTGTGGGGATTATAATTATCCAATTGATATTATTGCTCAAACAATGGTTAACAAAGTTCATCAAGAACAAATTTTATATAAAATGTCTGTTTCATTTATAATTCAATCAACAAAAAAAGATATTTTTTATCATTTTGATAAACAAATTAATCTATTTAATCAATCAACATCAACTGATTCTCTATCGAAAATTATTCAAAATGGTTTAATGCAAATTGAAAAAGGAGATATTACCAAACAAAAAGTAATACATTTATAGACAATAGATTTTAGGCATTTATCAATGTTTTTCAAGATAAAATAGTCTCCAGAAATCTCTTGTCAGACTCCAAAATCAATAAGAAAACATTTTATCGGATTCGATTCGACTTAAGCTATTATAGAAAAAGTTGTCAGTGTAACCCCATTTGTAAAACTTAGAAAATCTTACTATTATCAATTTCTGATATATTGTCAGATAAGTTAAAATGATTTATTTTGAAAAATGACAAATGAGTTAATTAATTAAAAAGAGAATAATTTTTCAATTGGTAGACGTACCTAGAAATTTTATCGAATATGTTTCCATTTAGAATTTTTATATTAACAATTTATTTTATTCATTTAACATAATTATACTGAAAAAACTTATTTCTATTGTCAATTTAACTTTCTCTCGACGACTTTTGACATATACTGTTGAGTTTAGTCTAAACTTTGAATTGAATTAGTTCATAGTTTTCTGTGTCCATCCAATTCTGACTATGTTAGATCGACAATATCGCTGCTGTACTGATTGGCACGTAGAATAAAAGCCTTTTACTGCATTAAATAGCAAAATCCGAAATATATCAACTGATTATAATCTACAATGAAAGTTTTATATTCATGGAACGATTTCAAAAATTGTCGAAACATTGAGAAAGATTTAAAAAATGTTATTATTGATGCACCCTTTTCCATAGTTAGATAAACTTACCCCATAATAGTTGGTTGCTGGTCTAGGAAGATAGAGATCGTATAAATCTTGATTTAAACTTCGATTCGTAATATTCTATCGACAAATCTATATGAGTTTTATAAAAGAATAGTCTTATTGTGGTATGTGTTACTTTCGACTTACTTTCTAATATTTTTCTTTTGTTAATAAATAACTTATTTTTCAATATCGAGATGTTTTAGTCACGTTTTCTATATTTGATAGATTCATAGATATTCAAAGATGATTTATTTGTTTAAAACAATAAGTAGAAAATAATATATATTTTATGCAATAAAATTACTCATAAAAATTTGATATTAATGAAGTCGAGAACAATTGTATGACTGACGTCTGAAAGATTAGAATTTCATAGAGTGAGTGCATCTATTATAATTGGACGATCAAAAAATGATATCAATGGATATTAGTTGAAATACTTTATGCTAAATTGGATAAGAGTTTGTTTCAGTAAAAATATTCATTTGAAACGAATCAGTTAAACACGCAATATAAATAATAGTCCGAAATCCCCTAGCAATATGGAGATTTTTAAAATTGTGGATTATTCATCTGACATAGGCATATAATTAAAGATAAATATATATTGTTTTTATTAAACTTGTCTTAGTAAAACATAATTATGAAGTTGTAAATAAACAGCTACCGAAAAAATGTTGGATAAATCAAATCATATTTAAATAATAGTAAACTTTTGCGTCATTTAATGAGACATTTGCAATTAATTATGAGTTTTGTTTACAACAAGTAAACGAGCTTGATTATAGTTTCTAAACTATAATTTTTTTCTTTTGCATCTGTCTAATTTATTTTAGTCAATCAGTTTGACTTAACATTACAAAGTTAAATTAATTAATGTAAATAAGACATATACATATCAAAGTTTGAGCTTTGGTTCTGTTCATCCAGATTTCTCAGGTATTTTTCATCAGAACAAATTATCGTTTGGTCTCCTTTTGACTTAGTAGTGATCAGGTATTAATCAACAATTGTCCAAACAGGGTAATGAGAAGTGTCATTGAACAAGATACCTAGATATGATAATTAATATTTAACTTTATTTTTCTTTTATAAGGATAGAAAGAAGAAATCGAATAAAGGGTATCTTTATTCAACTTGATTGAGCCTAATTTTCAAATATCGAAATGAATTCAATCGGATCAAATAATTCATTTGTTCTATTCCATATCGATTTCAATTTCTATTTTTTTTTCAACTTCAATGAATTATGAAACATTTATCAAGATGATACATAATTTAATTTTTCATTTTTGACGTGCTAAAATAAAATCATGATAGAAAATATGCTAGTCAACATTAAACTGACATAAAATATTTCAATTAATTACCTTACAACTTGTATATACAGCAATTTGAAAATTTGACAAATCATTGAAATATAATCAATAATTAAGATCATTATTTTAATAAAATAATTCATTTATTTAATCGAACAAAACGAAAAGAAATAATTAGAAAAAAAACAGAAAAAAATTAATCAACAAGTATTTTACAATCAGACAGTTAAAATATAGATAAAAACAAAATAAGAAAAGAAAAAGAAATATTCATATTTGAAAAGTGTAATAATCTATTAATACAGAATGTTTCTCTAATAATAAAATAAAATTAAGAATTTTTATTTGAATAATTTAAGGTTGATGTTATTGTTGTAAGTTCATCATCAGATTATCTTCGACAAATAGTTATAATCGAAGGTGGTGAACAAGTTTATGAAGCATATGAAAGAGAAAATAAAACAAATCCAAATTCTTTAATTATCTCAACACCACCTGGAAATTTATTATGTAAAAGAATATTTTTTCTTAAATGGATACCAGATGAAAATGAAAATTTACTTCGACAGTCAATTATTGATTTTATTTGGAATGTTATTCAAAATGTTCTTTCATATAAATTTGATTCAATTGCATTTCCACCAATTGGTTGCGCTCATTCAAATATTTCAACTTCAATTATAATTAAAACATTAATTAATCAATTAATTTATCAAATTAAAAGTCGAAATCTTTCATTAACTGTTAAATTTGTTATTTTACCTGATCAAAATGATATTTATGAAGAATTTTATCAAGAACTTTTAAAATGTGAACAAGGTTAAATATTAAAATAATATTTAATTATATTTAATAAAATTCTTTTTGTTTATAGATATTGAACAAACAAATGATGATAAAGTTCCTTCAACATGGGAATTAGCAGCTGGAAATTCTTTTCGTTTTATTATTTCATATAAACTTGATGAGTATAAAACAATTGCAGATGAATTTTATCGAGCGATGAAAGGAAAAATAAAAAAAATACTTCAAATTGAAAGAATTCAAAATGAACGATGGTATTTTCAATATTTGGCTCATAAAAAAGATTTTTTTAAAAGATTAAATAAAGATACTGAAAAACGTTTATATCACGGATGTCCAAATAATGCTGTTGATTCAATTATTGATGATTGTTTTAATAGAAGTTTTGCTGGTCTTCATGGTTTGACAGATTTATTTTCGAAAAAAAAAAACTTTTTATTTTATTTTTATTTTTAGGTACATCATATGGAATTGGAGTTTATTTTTCATCGGATGCAACTTATAGTCATCAATTTGCTAAACCAAATTCTAATGGTGAACGTTCAATGTTTATTGCACGTGTTCTTATCGGAAAAACAACTTTAGGAAATCCATCAATGAAAACTCGGCCTCCAGGATTTGATACAACAACTGATGGAAGTCATATCTATGTTACTTATCATGATGCACAAGCATATGCTGAATATTTAATCACTTACAAATAAGCCCTTTTTTTTATATTAAATGTCTTCATTAATTATATATATATACATATTATTTTTTAATAAAAAACAAACTGTAAAGATAATAAGAAAGAAAAACTTTATTTGCACATCGATCAAATTTTAAGCTGCAATACTCCAGTCGACAATTATAGAAAAGCTCAGACAAAAATTAAGAGGTCAAAATGGAGCGAAGTTCTTAGTGGAAGATAGTATTTCTCGAAGATAGGCGAGATAAGCAGAGATTACGAAGTGCTGAGCCTAAGGAAAATCTTTGAAGTTTCTCTATCCTCAAGTTACATAATGTACGTCTGCTGATTCAGCAAAATCTACGAAGAATATAAATCATCTTTAAATAAACGTATGTATAAGAGCAGTATATGTTCAAAACAGATATTTATACATATTAATTCACCATTACAATGAAGCACTAATATAATCATTGATAGCATTGATACTGTTCAAGCTACTAAGACAAATTAGTATTCTAAAATATACTATTATAATATGCAACTATATGGTTGTCTTGTACATACGAATGTGTATCTAATAGTAAATAGTTAAAGATATGAATAGAAGTTTTTCTCTTAAGAAAAATATGTTCTTCTTTTTATTTGAATTCGAAAGATGAATTGTTATAATATGTGAAAAAGAACCGATAAATGACCTTATTTTCTTTTCTACTCAGTGGAAAATATTCATTGAATAAAACGGTACAAAGAATGTGTTTCATAAAACTAAAAGTCGCTTGTTTTAAGAAGAAAAACGGTTCCAACAAAAACGCAATGCATTTCAAAATGGAACGGCCAAGAACGCTTTGTTCTCATTAGAAAACGGCTTTCGCCAACTTAGAACACTTTCTTGACTGTTCCTTTTTATAATAATGAATAAAAGAAAAAATACAATATGAATTGAACGAAATAGCACAATGAAATAAGTTTATTCCGAATATTATTTTTGACCTGATCTTTTGTTTTAGTTGCTGATTTCGATTTGCATTTAACTACCAGACGATTATGAATAGAGTGTTAATTAAGCCCTTATGAAATAAAGATAAAAATAATATTTTTATTTAAATAGCAAAAGACCAATAAAATGTTAAATTTAAAAAAAATATAGATATAGAAGAAAATACAGACGAATTTTACACGTTCCTACATATCTATTAACATTTACGGTTTATGACAACTATCTTTACAGTCGAGTCCACTTATAAGAGCTCCGGATAAAGGAGCGGTCCGCCTGTAAGAGCCGTTTTCCAATTTTCCATTTTTTTCTCCTATGTTTTATGTACTGGCAAAGTCCGCTTATAAGAGCCTCGGATAAAGGAGCGGCTCGCTTATAAGAGCTTTGTTTTGGCGCTTTTTTTGCGATTTGAGTCCGCATAAAAGAGCCATATTGTATGTTCTTGTTCTTGTTCTTTTCTTTTTCTATTCATCTGTTGCACGTATGCTCTTTTTCGTCTTACTCACTTTTCCTAACTGACGTCTTTGTTGAGTAAGAAGAACCATTGTCTTTTTCTGTCTATTATTCATTTTCTAAACAGACGGACGAAGCGTCTCGACTTTTTCTCTAGTCCGTCTATTGTCTCTCTCCTATGTATATATACTTGCTGTTTCTTCAATAAACGGATCAGATATTCATCCATCCAAAAGGTGATATGTATTTAACTTCGTTGAATCTTTATTTTTGAGAGAATGGCATCTACCAGCGGTAAACGTTGCACATTATCGATTGAGCAAAAATTGGAAATCTTGGAAGCACTGAAATCGAAAAAGCCAGACGAAGTGGCTAAAGATTTCAACATCGGCTATTCTGCGGTGAAGAAGATAAGGCAAAACGAAGAAGGAATCCGAAAAATAGCGTTGAGCAATGGCAACTTAAATCGAAAACGAAAACGCGAAAGCCCTAATGAAGAAATCGGCGAAGCGCTTATTGCTTGGTTCCATCAAATGAGAGCTCAAAATGCCACGATCAATGGACCGTTAATGTTGGAAAAAGCCAAGCAGCTTGCGACTACGCTCGGGCATCAAGATTTTGAGCTGTCGTACGGTTGGTTAGAACGATTGAAATCGCATCACAACATCAAATTTATCGAAGTTTCGGGTGAACGAGCCGCCGCTGATCAAGCTGGTGCGGAAAATTGGATCAATAATGTCTTACCCGGAGTGATCGAAGGCTATGATCCGAACGATGTTTTCAATGCGGATGAAATCGGATTGTTCTACAAAGCTGCACCATCCGGTACTCTCGCCGTCGCCGGCAGTCATCCTACTGGCGGCAAAACACCGAAAGATCGAGTGACTGTTCTTTTTTTGTGCAATTCTACAGGAACCGAAAAGAAGGCATACGCAATTGGAAAATTCAAAAAACCGCGTTGTTTCAACAAAGCTCGACCCCCGTTGTCGTACTACAGCAGCGCGAACGCTTAGATGACCGGTTGGATTTGGTCGGATATTTTGCAAAAATTCGATCGGGAATTGGGCAATCGAAAAATCGTTCTTTTCGCCGATAACGCCTCCTGTCATAAGATTGATGCGGCATTGAAGAACATAAGAATCCTTTTTATGCCGCCGAACACTACATCATTAATCCAGCCTTTGGATCAAGGCATCATTCGTACGGCGAAGGTGCATTATCGCACCCAAGTTATGAGAAAAATGCTTCAAGCGATCAATGATGGCACGTCGATAATCGATTATGCGAAATCGATCGATATTTTAAAAGCGTTGCATATGCTCAAACGAGCTTGGTTTCTCGTTTCGACCACTACGATCGAAAACTATGGGTGTGGGGTGTGGGTTTGGGTGTGGGTGTGTGGGTGTGTGGGTGTGGGTGTGGATGCGTGTGGGTGTAGGTGTGTGGGGGTGAATCAATATGAATGTTAATGCTTTATTTAAACACACCCACATCCACATCAACAGCCACACCCTCACCTCACACCCACACCCGCACCCCGAAAATATACGTGATTTCCAAAAAAAATAATAATAACTAATTGAACAAAACGCAAACACCTTTTGCCTCGATTCTTGGAATGGCGTTTTTTTCGTATGCAATTAGAGTGAAAGCAATAAATTGTGTTACGATATTTTCTTGATGATCTTTTTGGGTGGGATGGGTGGCGGTGGGGTGTGGGTAGGGCGTGAATCCTTTTCACTCTAAACACGCACCGCACCCGCGTCCAGTCACACACACCCGCACCCACACCCACACTCTTACGTCTTTTTTACTGTTTTGATGACATCAAATGAATTGCAACACCATTTCTTTGCCTCATGATTTATTACCTGCAAACGATAAAGAAGAACTGGACTGTTATCTTATTCTTATCATTGATGATGTTACAAGAGGTTGCAAAACAACTCAGTCAGTGTCACACAACAATCTTTAGACTCGTCTTTATCAAAACAACATCTTGCTGATGACGGTAGGCAATTTTTTCTGATGCTCTTTCCGGAAAAGGTCAGATATGTTGAGACTAGTAGCATAACCAGAAAAATATTCTAGGAAGGGCTGAGCTCTCGCCGGTTACGCCACTAATAAGCTACTCATCACTTGAAGAAAATGCCTTGGCATGTTTCTCCAAAACCGATGAAAATTGATTGTTACGTTTTCTCCGGGTTCAAAGAAAACTGTCTCATGTATTTATTGAAAATAAGAGAACACTGTCTAATATGTTTCTCCAAACTTCGAGAGAACTTACCAAAATTTTCCGGAACACGGAGAGGGAATAACTCCTCTCTTCCCAGTCCTCCCGATCCCGCCGTTCCTAGAGTCAAAAAATTGCAGCAAATATTCATTTGACCGTGATAAATCGAATGGTCAAGTCTAAAACAAGATTGAACATAATCGGAATCTCTCGACGTCTCTAGAGATTGTTCTCGATAAGAGAATTTCTGGACTTTAGCTTTTTATCGAGTGGTATGGGATTTAGTTGATATCAGAAGGAATTATTGTATTACTATGAAAAGAAAGGATTACATGCTGAGCTGTGAGAGTATGGCCCCCCCCGTCTCTCTGGTCGTCCAATGCAATTGCTCTGTTCTAGCAACACGGATAGAGGGCGCTGTCGCTGGATAAGTCATCATAATATATCTTTTCTCAAATGAAATTGGTTATAGGTAATCGAAAGAGGAGAATCTGAATATACTATCGGGTTTCTAGTAAAACTGTGGTAATGATAATTATACCCCATTTACAAAAAGAAGTGCATGGATATTTTTCGAACAGCTTTTGATAGAAGCCAGATAAAGAGCTGTTTGTTTTCACCGTTGGAAACAGGAGGTGAAGACGCACCGAATCATATCTTATACGTTTTTCTAACACGTTTTCTAAGGTTTTCTGAAACAATTACCTTAGAGAAACAGTGCCGGAAAATTGGTTTCTCAAAAATAAGAAAAACCAAAAAAAAGTGTTTTTTTTTTCAGAGAAATTAATAGAAGAATTGGCTCAGAATTTCGAGTAAGATACCTATAGCTCGTGAATGGATAAATTGAAAAGCCTAGGCGTTGTTCATTTTTGTGTTATCAACTAGTTTTATCGACGCCGGCGTTGATATTTAGGACCACGCTATAAACACATGATTTGCGATGGTGATTCGACCCACGTCAGCCTGTCACAGCTTGGTACGCATGGCATAAGGCACGGCGTCATACATACAATGTCTACTGTGTGTGCCATCATACGTATTAAATGTATGTCGTGCATATTACTCTGACATGTGCTGCTATCATATGATTGGTCAACTCATCGGACAAACGAATAACAATGACGGCAGATATCTTCAGTTGCTTGTAAGAAAGGATCTCACCGGTTTCTAATCGCTTAAAGGAAGTCCCCTCACAAACAAACTGTTTTATTTTTCGATGGAATTCAATCAAAATTTCAGAGAATGTTAGTCTGGGCTGAAGTAGACTATGGTTAAAATATCTTCTCAAATTTCCGTGATATTCACGACTCAGTCAATTTATTGGTCAAAAGTACTCTGTACGCGGGCAAGA